CTCCCAACAACAAAAGTCCAGGACCAGATGGATTCATAGGTGAACTCCACCAAGCATTTCATCAAGAGTTAGTACCCATTCTCCTCAAACTACTGCATAATAAAGAAGGGGAAGAAGAACCTCTAATACATTCTATGAGACCAGCATTACCCTGGTCAGTACAAAAACCAGAGAAAGACACTACAAAAACAGAAAACTACAGGCCAAAATCCCCGATGAACATAGATCCAAAAATCCTCCACAAAGTATTAGCAAACCAAATTCAATGATACATTAAAAGGACACTCACCATGATCAAGTAGGATTTATCCCAGGGATGCAATAGTGGTTTAGTATACACAAATCAATCCATGGTACTCTACCACATTAATAAAGTGAAGGATAAGAATCATATGATTATTATTTTAGCAGGTGCAGAAAAAGTATTTCACAAAATTCAACATTGATTCATGGTAAAAACCCTCAACAAAGTGGGTTTAGAGGGAACATATCTCAACATAATAAACGCCACATATCAGAAACCCACTCCTAACATCACATTCAATGGAGAAAAACTGAGAGCTTTATCCTAAGATCAGGAACAAGACAGGGATGTCCACTCTCACCACTTTTACTCAACATAGTATTGCAAGTCCTAGCCACAGCAATCAGACAACAAAAAGATTTAAAAGGCATCCAAATAATTAAGGAAGAAGTAAAACTGTCACTACTATTTACAGATAACATAATATTATATAAAGAAAACCTGAAAGACTCCACCAAAAACTACTGGAATAAATGAATTCATTAATGTTGTAGAACACAAAATTAATATTCAAAAATCTATTCCATTTCTCTACACTAATAACGAAATAGCACAGAAATTAAAAAAACAATCCCATTTACAGTAATACCAAAAAGAATAAAACACCTAGGAATAAACTTAACCAAGGAGGTAAAAGACTTGGGATCTAAAAACTATAAAACACTGGGGTGCCTGGGTGGCTCATTCAGTTGAGCATCCGACTTCAACCCAGGTCATGATTCTGTGCTACATGGTTTCAAGCCCTGCGTCAGGTTCTGTGCTGATGGCTCAGAGCCTGGAGCCTGCTTCGGATTCTGTCTCCCGCTTTCTTTTCCTCTCCCCCACTCTGTCTCTGTCTCCTAAAAATAAACATTAAAACATTTTTTAAAAAAAAAACTATAAAGCATTGATGAAAGAAATGTGTTTCTATAAAAAAACAACAACTATAAAACATGATGAAGATGACCGAAAAAATGGCAAAAGATTCCATGCTCATGCTTTGGAAGAATTAACATTGTTAACATGTCCATACTACCTAAAGCAATCTACAGAGTCGTTGCAATCCCTATCAAAATATCAAGAGCATTTTGCACACAACTGGAACAAATGATACTAAAATTTGTATGAAACTATAGAAGACCCTGAATAGTCATAGCAATCTTGAGAATGAAGAACAAAGCTGGGGGTATCACAATCCCAGATTTTAAGATATACTACTAAGCCATAGTGAAATCAAAATAGTATGGCACAAAAATGTACTCACAGATCAATGGAACAGAGCAGAGAACCCAGAAATACACCCACACTGATATAGTCAGTTAATTGGCAACAAAGGAGGCAAGAATACACAATAGGGAAAAGACAGTCTCTTCAATAAATGGTGCTGGGAAAACTGGACAGATGCATGCAGAAGAATGAAACTGGACCACTTTCTTACACCATACACAAAAATCAACTCAGAATGGATTAAAGACCTAAATAGGGGACCCAAAACCATAAGACTCCTGAAAGAAAACAGACGTAGTAATTTTTTAAATATCGCTCTTTAGGAACAACAAACAACAGCAAAAATACACCAAAGTAAAAAGCATCTGCACAGTGAAGGAAACCATCAATAAAACAAAAAGGCAGCCTGGTGGATGGGAGAAGATATTTGCAAATGTTATACTTGATAAGGAGTTAATATCCACAGTGTATAAAGAACATATACAACTCGACAGCAAAAAAAACCAAAAAACAAAAAACTGATGAAAAAATGGGCAGAGAACATGGATAGACATTTTCCAAAGACATAGATATGGCCAACAGACATATGAAAACATGCCCAGCATCACTCCTCATCACGGAAATGCCAATCAAAGGCACAATGAAATATCACCTCACACCTGTCAGAATGGCTATATATATATACACACACACATATATATGTATATGTATATGTACATGTACACACACAGAGAGTATTACCCAGCCATAAAAATGAATGAGATCTTGCCATTTGTGACAACATGGATGGACCTAGAAGGGATTATCCTGAGTGAGATACGTAAAACAGAGAAAGGCAAACACTGTATGATTTCACTCATACATACAGAGATCAACCTTGTTCCCAAAGGGGATAGGGATGGAAGGATGAGAAAAATCAGTGAAGGGAGGTGGGAGGTACAGGCTTGCGGTTATGGGATGATTAAGTCACAAGGATAAAAGGCACAGGGAATCTAGTCAATGGCAAGGTCATAGCCTTGTGTGGTGACAGATGCTGGTCACACTTGTGGTGAGCACAGCATCACATACGGACTTGTTGAATCCCCATGTTGGGCACCTGAAACTAATGTAACGTTGTGTGTCAACAGTATCAATGTAAAAAAATCCTTGATATTTATTTTAATAATAAACAAATGGGAAGAAACAATGAAGAAACATAAACTCAGTTTGGAATCAGGAACCTCTACGTTTGGGAATGATTCTACCATTTAACTGGGCTAGAAAATTCTACATCTCCAACGGAATTTCTATTAGCTTACTACAGAAATACCTCATTAATTAGAGAAACTTTCCATAGGAATATACACCAGAGTAACAATAATAGAAACACACACACACACACACACACACACACACACACACACACACACAGAGGGAGAGAAAAGTAGAAGTGTCTTTTCAACTTTGTAATGAATCCTAAACTCAAAGATTGGTTAAAGGAAGGATATCCAACAGCCGTGTATATCTATGAAGGCCTCCAGACCCCAGGCCAGTAAGAGCATTAGGGCATCTCTCTTCTGGCATAAAAGAACATCTGTGAAATGACTAGAGGTGACTAGGATTACAGGTGAACATTTGAATGGCGTGAGAAGCCGGCGCTGTGAAAGACACAACTCCAGATTATCTGGGTTACTGCTGAGAGCTTTTAACACAGATGATTATAATAAAATCTGGAGAGACACTGAACTCCTGGAGGCCAGAGAGATTTACATTCATGGCCCCTGACCTTTGCACATAAATACCTAGTCTACCATGAGTGTGCCCTTGTGGGGAGGAGCATTTTATCACTGACATTCTTTAGAACTGCTGGTGCATGGCGATCATAAACAGCAGAGTCACTTTTAGTTAGTTTTATAACTGTCTTATATTCTCAGCAGATAATGTACCCGTTATGTCCATCCCCACCCCCCAGTTTTGTATACAACTGAGACATTTGGACAGTGATTATTTTCTTGGGACCTCCTGAGATATAAGAGCCCTGACGTGGCACCTGCTGATGGATCAACTGGGGACGGGCACCTCACCCATGTCCCCATGCTGCCATTACCCTTAAGTGCCACGCCCCAGTGTATCTCTGTTAAATGAGCAATGAGCAATGGCCTGGAACAGGAAGGTCAGGGAGAGGAAGTTCCTGGGAACTAAGTAGATTATGAACCAATGAAATGGTCTGGAAACTAGGGTCTAGTTCATTTCTATGTTTTCTATCCTGCCTCGTTGACAGACATTTGATTTCCCGATAAAAGTTTGGCAACCATTGAATTCATGGTGCGTGCTGGAGGTGAGGTGAATCTGGATCCGTTTAACAAGTCTTTTATCCTGATTCACTGTGACCCTGCCGCCCTTCTACTTTTAACTTCCCTGAATGTGCGTCCGCTGTGGCAACACAGAGGGACCACGTCCCAGAATTAGGGACAAGAGATTGCCAAATGTGCGGCCCAAACCAGATCTCTCCGAATGGGGAACTTTCCCTGCTTCATTCCTGTGTCCGGCTGTGTGCCTCCTCTGTCCTATGCGGCCCACAGCATCTCAATAGTACACACCCTTCCAGTTTATTACTGAATGTCTGAGTTCATTTATTCTGTGATCAGGGGAGGGCTAGAATTGGCTGCCAGTCCTAAAATGCCCTCAGGCCTGGATCTTCTGGGGTTGGACTTTACCGAGAGAGGACTGAGAAGCATGAGTTTATTAGATGCGAGAAGATGTGTCCACAGCTGGCGGGGGAGGCTGGGGTGCTTGTCTAATAGATCACCTGCTACTGAGTCAAGTAGTATGTAGGGCTCCATCACGGGCCACTTAGGCTGCTGTGAAAAACTGTTCAGTCTCCCACCCCAGGCTACCTTTGTCATTCCCCTTACTTTATGTTACAAACAAAAGCTTCCTATAGTAGCACGAGGAGGAGATAGGCCATGTGCCTCTGCTGACATTGAAATTTTCACATTTTACTTAATTTGGAAAGTATTCCTTTTTTTCTTAGCTGTTAGGCTCCCAAGGGCCATTCCTTTTCTTTACTGGTAACCAGTTTAACTGGCACAGGCCAACCTCAATGTCTTGTGAGCACTGAAAGTTAACAGTAGAATAAACTCAGAGAAAAAGCTAACTAAGGAAACTTATGACCATGCAGTCTAACTCACTGCAGGTGGACAAGGCTGGCTTGCTTATGCGGGAAGCTGGTTAGAGATGCGGGTCCTATGTTCTGAAACATATCAGCAGCTGCCATGTTTTATCCTGTACTGATATCTAGACATTTACCCTTCAGCTCTAATAATCCTTCAATTATTACCTCTCAAATGGTAACACTGAGAACTGGAATACGTACAGATAACTCAAAACGCAGGAGCACGTGGAAAAGGATGATGTCAGTATATGTAAATGTAAAACACTTCCTGGCCAAGATACATTCCATCACTTTGTTCTGCACAGCAGCCCAAGTGGTCGAAATGGGAGTTCTCACCTGGGGTCTTGAAGTTCCTCAGCTGGGAGGGGGTATCGTAAACTTCAAGGATCCAATCACCGGTGGCTCGTTCTCCCCAGCAGTGAATGGTCATGAACTCCCAGTTTTTAAATCCTTCCATGGAATGATCAAAAAGCCTGAGGGAGAACCAGAACACATTGTTTTGTGTTGTTTAGAATTCGGTGAAGGCCAAATCAAGACCACAACCAACCATCTTTTTCTATCCATCAGCATATCCAGCTCAATACTGGAGCCTGTCTTCCTCCGGGACACTGACAGTTAGTAGACCCAACCATGCATCGTGTTTTGCCACAGGGAAATAGGCACAGAGTCGGCCTTGTACTGGTACATCTGGAAAGGGTAGACATTTGAGTATCAGGGAAACCGGGCTATGTATGATTCTACCCCAAAGACTGATAGAACCAAGTGCTGAAGTCGTGGAGAAGCTGAAGCTCTCCTGAATAAACTGCCTACGGAAATGCCAAATGGTACAGTTTGGTAACTTTTTTTAAATTTTTTAAAACATTTATTTATTTTTGAGAGACAGAGTGCAAGTGGGGGAGGGGCAGAGAAAGAGGGAGACACAGAATTCGAAGCAGGCTCCAGGCTCTGAGCTGTCTGCATAGAGGCCGACACAGGGCTTGAACCCATGAACCATGAGATCATGACCTGAGCCGAAGTTGGACGCTTAACCGACGAAGCCACCCAGGCGCCCCAAGGTAATTCTTACCATGTCACTCAACAATCCCTCTTCTAGATATTTACCTGAGAAATGAAGACCTAAGTTCATACAAACTTCAAAGGAATGTTCACAGAGTTTTATTCATAGTCACTGAAAACTGTTAACGACTTGAATGTCCATCAACTAGTGAATGGGGAGACAAGCTCTGGTATATACATACAATCAAATACTACCCAGTAATAAAAACTACCGAACTACTAATAAATGCAACCCCATGGATTAATTTCAAAAGCCTTTACGCTAAATGGAAGAAGTCAGACACAAAAGACTATGTGCGGTATGATTCAATTCATGACATTCTAGAAAAGGCAACAGGAACAGAGACGGACCAGCGGCTGCCAAGGGCTGGGAGGGAAGAAGGGAGCATTGTAGAAGTACTGCAGATGATAGAACCATTTTGTGTCAAAACTCATTAAATCACACATATTAAAAAGTGAAATGTATTTTATGTAAATTATGCTTCACTAAAAAGACACTGCCCACTAATAACCATTTCAGGGAGTCATGGCTGGAACTCCAGCATAGATTCTCTTCTAGCTCTTTCAATGATTTGCTAAGCTCCTAATTCCCTACGTGAAATCTTTGCCTGCTTGAAATAGCTAGAATTATTTGCTTCCTGTGAGGTAATCCTGAGGGATATAAAATATGAAGGGAAATAAAAGAAGAAAACTCATCAAAAATAATAAAGAGATGTCAATAGATAATGTATAAAACTAGCACTTGAAGAAGGAGGCGTATCATTTATATAGGCACATTGTATAGATCTGATTGCCCAAAGAGATATCCAAAAGATTTCTATAGGGGGGTACATGGCTGGCTCGGACAGGAGAGCACGCAACTCTTGACTTTGGGGGCATGAGTTCAAGACCCGCATTAGCCATACAGCCTACTTAAAAAAAAAAAAAAAAGTTGTCTATAGAGATAGAACCCAGAAGGCAAGAAGTTAAAGATGGGGAAACCATGTCTGGGGCATATCTGTCTTTCAGTGGAGGCAAAGTTCACAGCAGCTGGAAGTTGACGGTATTCAGAACATGCAGTCCACTCTCTGTGCCTTAATTTCATGATCGACAAGGAAACCGGTAGTTATAATCTGACATTTTATGTATATCCTCCCACTGGAAGGAAACGCACCCTTCAAAAAACAAAAATAACCTGTTTAATCTCTTTACAATTTAATACACTAGAATTCTGATGTGTTACATACAAAAGTGTTCTATCAGTATGTTTGAGGATCCCTCTAAAATGCCAGCTGGATTCTGAAGCCGCAGGGCTGGGGGGTACACCTGGAATGTAGGAGGTAAATGGGTGACCCTCGGCAGTTTTCCCTAGAGAAAAGCAACAAACAGGAAAATCACCTCTACGCGTTCCTTCGCCCTTGGAAGAAGAAAAAGAGAAAGTACTTATCAGCATGCTCAATGTGTCCCGTAGTCCGAAAGTTTGGGAAAATTTGAGAAAGGCTGAGTTAGGGCTGAACAGATCTCTTCAGTGGAGAACATCTCAGATCTTTGGAATGTTCAAAGGCTTTGTTAATTTCCACAACGGGGTTAATGGTAGGGAGTGACTTTTCAAAGCTTATATGAATGAAAAGCCCCTTTTCTTTATTTAAACTATCTGTATGCTATCTGTAAGGGTTAGTTCTGAACAGGGGAGTGTGGCATTTGAACAAGAACCATATTAGACGTGGTGCCTTTTCCTCATGAATGGAAACAGTGACTCCTGACACAAATGTCTTCCCCATGTAAAAGATCTTCAATAGATCAGGGATGGTACATTTTATGGAGATCCTGTAATTCATGCACAGGGCTTGTTTTGCAGGCCAACAGCTTGAAACTGGATGTGGCCAGGAAACAATTGCTGGCTCATTATATAACTGACTTACATACATAGAGTCTTTCACGTAAGTAAACTCAGAGGGTGGGTATGTTGGATGAAAAGGAGAAACAGCAGTGGGCAGGAGGAGCCTTTCCAAATCACCCTTATCTTAGACAGATGTTACTAAAGGGAGTAGTTGACATAGAAATGGGTGGAGGCAGAAACTAATCTAGAACCACTTCTTAGCCCAGAGAGTTCTGATTTAAGGCTCCAGTTTGTTGAAGCCATTGTGTCATTTGCGGGCATTGAGGCAGCAAGTTGTCACATAATACCTTTCCAAGAGTGCTGAACTTAAAAGCAATTCCCCAACAGTTTAGACAGAACGTTTGGCTCATTGCCTCATGTCCAAAAACTACAAAGGAGACTTGAGGCTCCCATCACATGAGGGCAGTCTTGTTTCCACAACCCCAGCCAACTTCTAATTACTCATGGGTCAGTTATTTGACTGCTGGATTAGTGGACCCTGTGTTTCTTCCCTTCCACCCTTTCCTGGCCACCTTTGAAAATCATTCCATTGCGGCCGATCGCTTTTAAATCACATTTGGAACCTGAATTAAATATAAACTGGGTGCCAAGAAGAAATATCCATAATCGGCATTCAAGTAAGTGTTTCAAAGCCCACATACAAATGGGCTTTGTCTATCTGGCTAAGCGGCTTCCCACCCTGGTCTCTTCCCTTTATGCAGAGCTGAATGCTCATTAATTTCATGTGGACATAAAAGTTGAGGAGAGGAATTAAAATGCAGCCAAACACGATCATTGCCTTTTACTGAAAGAGTTGATGGGGAAAGAAACAGACACTGATTGCTGGTGTTGTTTTCGACTAGCTGGGCATTCATGTTTCTAATCTCACCCTATTCTTTATTGTATTCTGATGTACCACTTAAGCCATTCCCTATTTTTAGCATTGTAACATTTAAAAACCCTGCCTCATGTAGATTACAACAGGTAACACTGGTAGTAGATTCTGTTTGTGTTGTGAACAACATACTTGCTCAAGACAAGCAAGTGTCATACGGTCACCAGCTAAACAGATTCTCATTGTGTGGTCTCCGTCCATCAACTAAAAAGTCCAAAGCCCAGTTAGCGCATCTGTGCTGTGCCAACAGTGAAGAAACCCAACACGTTATTAGCCAACGTTATTTTAGCACGGATAAAATGTCAATAAAGCAGGGCCAGTGTGCGGAAAGCTGGAGTAATAAACTCTGTGCCCGAATCACATCTTTTTGCAGTGAAATCCTGTTCTGTCAAAGTTGACCTCATCATCATGTGCTCGATGAAATGATATGTGCATGTGGGAGCACAAATTATGCATCCAGTTATTAAAATGGTGCCCCACAGCCCTATCCCTGTGAGTGGTTTTCAAATAAATTACTTTGGATGAAGCCTGGTAGAAAAGATTGCCGTTAAGTGTAGTACATCCTTTTGAGGAATTAACTCAGGAAATAACTCATATAATTAGTGCAAGCTTCCCCCCCCCCCACTTAAAGAGTCTAGCCAATGTGTCAAGGCTACAACATTCTTCAATGATGTTATAGCAACTAAATAACAAGACATTTTATAAGCACTGACAGCTATGTGTTCATATAATTATTTTGAAAATTGTAAATGGATCTTAATTTCAGAATCATCTACTACTACCCAAAGAGTATTTATGTTCACTACAGAATTAGACTTTAGGTAGATATTTTTGGAAGTTTCCTTTTTTTCCCTTCCTCTGCCTTTGAAATACTTTTTATTTTCTTTTTAGTGCTTTATCACAATTTTACGTGAAACTTACGGAATGCTGGAAGCACTCATTTGACTTAATTGTAATTGAGTTTTTGATTTTCCTTGGATGTTTGGCTTTTGCAAGTTTTAAATAATTTGTTTCTGAAACGGGGTATTTAAAACACACGATTCAGGTTTTTCCATCTCTCCTAGTCTAAATTACTTCTTTAAGAAAGGTTGAGAGAGAGAGAGGTACTAATTCTAGAGGTTTGGAATATGTAAAAAGATGAATTTAAAAAAAGAAAAACAACTTTCAACCTGGATACTGTTACTGACTCACCAAGCCCCAAATGCATTCCTGCTTGTGGATCTATGATGTACGTATATAATCTTGCAGATTTATTCCATTTAAGAGTGGATGGCTTTTATCTCTAAGTATCTGTTTTCGATTACAGACGCCTTTGTAAATTACTTGCACAGCACCCAGCAGCGCTCGCTTGCAAGTCTTTTGAGGACATGAAAATAACAAGAATGTGTGTGAAGAGCTGGGTGATCTTTTAAATCACTGCATTTAAAATGTGGTCTGTGGACAGGCAGCTAGAACATCACCTGGGAGCTTCTTAGAAATGCAAATTCATGGACCTCACCCAGACCTGTGGAATCAGACTCTGGGAAAGGGGCCCGGGCCATCTGTGTTTGATGGAGTCATTCACCAGGTGCTTGGAGAAGCTCTGTGTAAATAAGGGTTAGCACTTAGGGAGTGCTAACCGTGTGTTCTAGAAGCCCCACTATGGATTTGCTGTCTGTGATCTTATTCAGAGCTTGTGACAACCCTGTGAAGCAGATATTACTGTGTCCCGTTTCTAGAGAAGAGAATTGCTTTTCCAAGTCAAACCTAAAAATTGGTGAAATCAAGACAATCCCAGCTCTAACTCCAAAGGCTGTGCCTTCTGGATGAAGGAAGAAGGTTCTTACTGGAATGTCAAACCTCCGCTACAGAAGGGTAATTTTCTACTGCAAACCACAAATGCATTTATATAGCATGACACTTTACAAATGTCAATAGTCTGTCATTGAACATTTGGGCAGCAACAAAAATGACTCAAATATAAACAGCACATTTAAACACAGTTAATTATAGAAGCCTATAGGTTTTGCAGACTAGAAAGTGTACCTTCTCCCTACTTAAGACCATAATTAGAAGCAGAGATATTCATCTGTAATCAAATTTAGAAAGAAAGGCAAGTTTCAGCTTTCAGGCAGAAGCCAAAATTTGGAACAGAGAGCCGATACAGCTAAACTAAATCTAAAGCTCACTGGCGTGGGGGAAGGGGTGTTTTGAGCTGGGTCGGGTGGGGAGTGTAGAGGGGAGACAGCTTTTCATAATTCTAACCAACGCAGCTGAAGGAAGGATCTGCTGAAGCTTTTGTTTGAAAACTTTTACACGGGCAGAATTTGAATACGCTGGTGGCATAGAAAAGGCTAAATCTAAAGTTGTTCCTGTTGCAAAACATTTTAAAGGAACCCAAGCCCACCTAGATTCCCCTCCCCCCACCGCTGACGCCAAGTCAATCATTGGTGCTGATTAAAAAGTTGGGCTTTTTGTTAGGCTTGGGTATACAGGCCAAAAGGAACACCAGAAGGTAGGAGGGCATGAGAAAACAAAGGGATCAGAAGGGACAGACCCCATGCCCATTCCAGGACTGCTCTGTGTACTCAGTGCTCCTACCCACTAAATTATCAACCTGGCCTGCCCCGGGGAGCCCCCACGCTGGGCCGATGGGGCGCGCTTGAGATGGGCCAACTCTGAACCGGCTGAGCGCCTTCCAGGACGCAGCACCTGCAGATGCCTGGGTCAACTGTTCTTCCTCGGATGGCTGTTCTCCGCAGGGGGTCCAGCAAGTGCCCCTCAGCGGGCACGGGGAGGCACTGGGGGGTTCCAGAGGGCCCACACAGGCCAACCGTTCGGCGACCTTGCGGAAGATGGATTCCCAAGGAACTGCTGGGTTGTGGGGACACACCACCGTGGCCACCTCAGCTCTACCTCTTCAGCTCAAATGACACCCTCCCCCCACCCCAATTAGGGTGACTTCATGATGCAAGCCTTTCAGGGTTATCTTCTGATGGTATTCTTAGCTTTCACGCAGCCTTCCTCTGGAAATCCTGACTTCTTTGAAAGAAAGGGAAGTGTCCAACCGGGGAACTATTTATTGCTCTCATTAATAATCTCTCACACAATTTCCTTCCCAAACTCGGCCTATTCACCTTTTCCTGGAGGAAGTATAACCGCCTTGCAGGCCAACAGGAAGGACACCAGGGAGGAAGCAGATCTTCCCGTCACCGGGTCCCCACCCCCTTTCTGTGCTCCTTGTCCTCAGCTCCCAATCCAGGGAATGAGCCTGGAAGCGGGACCCAGGTGAGGGGACACCTCCTTGCCACCAGGTCAGACAGAGACTAAAAGGTTTTGAGTACAGACCTCCTCTCATAAAGGGAAAGCTTCCGAACACGCCAGGAGGAGAAAAAAATGCCAAAAGAAACCGTCTTTCCTTAACCTTTGGTAGGAGGGATGCTACCAGCACCAAGCCGACCCAGGGCAGGAGAGCCTGGCCCTGGAGGCCATCTGTGCTTTTGCGACTGTTTGACATTTAAGGGGCCAGCCGCTCACAGCGATCTTTTTGGAGGGAACTGTGGACAAATGAATTCAAAACATCCTTTACTTCTCTTGGTGTCCCCAGCCCTTGGCCACTCCAGTCCATATGCCTTTTGGTGGCTACTTAATTTTCAGTACTGAGATGGACCGCATACAAAAGAGCAGCGCTTTAAGAAAATGCTCCAGGGGGCGCCCGGGTGGCTCAGTCGGTTGAGTGTCCGACTTCGGCTCAGGTCATGATCTCACAGCTTGTGCCTTCGAGCCCCACATCGGGCTCTGTGCTGACAGCTAGCTCAGAGCCTGGAGAGTCTGTTTCGGATTCTGTGTCTCCCTCTGTCTCTGCCCCTCCCCTGTTTGTACTTGGTCTCTCTCTCCGAAAAATAAATAAACGTTAAAAAAAATTAAAAAAAAAAGAAAAAAAAATGCTCCAGACAGTGGAGACATAAGCTGGGTAGCAACCTTACCCCGGGGGAGGGGGGGTTGTCTGATGGGGGTCCGAGGTAAACTTCAGGACCACTGGTCACTGAGCATCCAAAATACACATTTCTTCTCTCTGGTACGAGTCAAGCGGCACCGTTGGGTTGAGCACTTTGCAGAGAGCGGAGCAGATGTCTGAGACTGCGGAATGCGGGCCAGACTAAAGCCGGGGCCACTGAGCCCAGCAAATGGTCTCACGGGATCCATAGCTCCTCGGCTGAAGTCACTCGGCGGGGAGCCCACAAGAAATACCGGACCCCGCAGGAAAAGCCCAGAAAGTCTGAGGAGCCTGCATTTTCCAAGCCAACGGCAACCGGGAAGGAGCTATGGATCTTGGCAATACAATTACCTGCTGCATAAGTGTTTGGAGGGAGCAGGGAAAAGGCAAGAAACTAAGAAGAAAAACTGAGCACCCCCCCACCCCCACCAAGCAATAAAGACTAATGGGCCAACTTTTAAAACAGGGGCCAGCAAATTACAGTCAGTCTTCAAGCCATATACAGCCTGCTGTCTGTTTTTGTAAATAAAATTTTATTGGAAAACAGCCATGCCCATTCATTCCCTTTGCCGTGGAGGACTTTTGCATTCGTAAGCCGAGTTGGACAATTGTAGCAGAAACACGGCCTGCAAAGCTCAACACACTTACTCACTGGCTCTGTGCAGAAAAAAAATTTTTGCCAATACCTGCTTTAAAACAAACAATTTCCTTTCACTTGGGAAAATGCTTGGGCAGGCGAATCCAGTTAATCTGCAACAAATGCCAACAGACATTTAAGGGCAGGAGAGAGAATCTCAAAGGCCCAAGGAGGTAGTGCTCTGCATTTCTTTCTTTATTTTTAAAAAAAAATTTTTTTAAAATCTTTTATTTTTGAGAGACAGACAGACAGAGTACGAGTGGGGTAGGAACAGAGAGAGGGGGAGATACAGAACCCGAAGCAGGCTCCAGGCTCCGAGGTGTCAGCACAGAGCTGGATGCGGGGCTCAACCTCACAAACCGCAAGATCGTGACCTGAGCTGAAGTTGAACGCTCAACCGACTGGGCCACCCAGGCACCCCATTTCTTTGTGAGGCTAAAGAACAGGTGGCCGTCAGTTTTTCTGCAGCATCCTTTCACTATCCCTCAAGTATTAAATGGTACACTGTTCCATGCCTACAAGGCTAGGCAGTTTCGCACTCCCTCATTTACATATGGGCAGTGAGAGCTACGACTGTCCCTTCTTGACATTTAAGTGCCCCCTTAGTGTTTACGGTGGGGAGTAAGGAGCAGCTGACGCTTTCTACCTTCAACGACAGCTCAGTCTTGATGTCACCTCTACGCACTTGCGACCAGATCCCATCACAGTACCTGTTGGCCAAAAGCTGGGATCTGGTTCCTGAGGGCGAAGTCAGGTAGATGGCCAGGTCTCCCCTCCTCGGATGGGTGATGGTTATGCGCACAACCACGTGCTCCAGGTAGTTGACGTGGTGGTTGGGGTTATCGGAGCACCCCGAAGCCTTGTAGATGGAGCGCACTGCGCTGTTGGGGCGAATCGTCCTGCAACAGAGAGACACAGGGTGTGAGCAGAGTTCACGACCGACGACTGAGCCGGGCTGGGTGAACTGGGTGAAGCTTTCAGGTTGGGAAAGATTACAGCATGGAACGCAAGCAGCTGGCCGCCAGATACTAAATGACACAGTGCAATTACCCCAGGTCACTTCCAGGATGAACACTGCTTAGTCGGTGGGAAAGACGTAAGTGAGAGGAAAGGAGGAATTCAGGTTCTTTTAACTTCGTGCTGGGGGTGGCTATCGAGCTTGAGCGTATCACCTTGTTACAAAATGCAGGTGGCTGAGCCCCTGAGCCAGAATTCTGAAATAGGCAGGCTGAGGTGGGCTCCAAGAGCCTGTACTTCTCACCAGTTCCCAGGTGGCAGTGACGTTGCTGATCTATGGAATATACTTTCCGAACCGCTGATATAAGGTACTATGGTCTGGGGAAGGCTTGGGGGTTCCCATGATCTTGGTTCAAATCTCTAGTCTGCCATTTCCTTGCTCTAAAACCCATGGACGCACTCCTCATCTCGCGGCCATTGTTCCTGTCTTCTTCATTGGCTTCCCCATGTCACTGTCCCCCTTGAATCTCGGCCCCAGACCCACTGGTATCAGTTCAAGTTGGGGGTGGGGGAGGATTTCATTTCCCACCCCGGAGACTCCACCTAAAGCACTCTTTTTTTTTTTTTTTTTTTGCTGTTTTTCGTATGACTGACTCTTCCTCTTCCTTCATAGTCAAAGCTTGAATTTCACTCTCTGAGACTCTCACTGGGCTATAGGAAAAATATGCCCCCTACTTCCAATTTTCTGTTTTATTTTTAATGTATTGTTATTTTTATATTATATGTTGAAAATACACTTTGTAATTAGATGTTATGTAGTTACATTTCCAGAATATAAAGATTCTTTTTTTTTTTGGAGCACATTGACTTATGGGGAATACCTGTACCATTAAATAGAAGTACTTGCTGGGTAGAAGCCTTAAGGATGCCCATCTGAAAGGGTCCTCCAAATCCCATTAAGAGATGCTTAGGAGGATGCTTGCATTCTGCTGTGTGGATTTAAGAGTTTAGCATCCTAGACATTCTATTAGACTTTTCTAATTACATTAGGAAAACAAAACAAAACAAATCTACACCAGCGTTTGGCTCCCATGTACAACAAAGGGCTCCCTGAGCACTTGCACTGGCCTGATCTCTTTCCGGACATTGTTATGCTGTCTGTGAGCAGTGAACATTACTTGATTTGTCGGTCCGTGCTCTCCACACACACATGCTGCTGGGGAACAGTGGTCCACTTTTCTGCTTCCATCACCATGGCTTCTGCATCCATCAGTCCAAATCCATAGAGATGGCTCACTACGGAAAGCAAGAGGCTGGTCAGTTTGGCGGAAGTGAGCTAAACCAATGCCATGTACGCCAAGCTATGAGTTCGCTCAGGAGAGGACCCCAATATATCCCTATGGGGATCCCGGCTTTGTTCCTTGCAATGACTTGCAAACCAAATAAAACAAATGAACAAACATAACAAGGAAATAAAATGGATGGAGAGTAGTCAGTGATTATGTATTATGGCGAGTAACGTGGCCATCATGTATGAATTACTACTCTGTCGCAGGCAATAGTTCGTATTTTTTCAGGGAATCCAGCAATTGTAAGATGTTGATGGTATTACAATCACCATTCATAGATGAGAAAACGGAGGCACAGAGAGAGAAACCTGACTGAGTAGTGATTCAATGGTTGAGGTGGATTTTAATCCACATCATTTTGCCCCAAGACCTTACTGTTAACTGCTTCAAGTGCTGACATCATCAATTTTGTAAGATAATTACTAGGTTTAAAGAGAAGTGATAATGTATACAACCTCTCCTGTGCAACAAGAACTTACATGCAAGAAATGCCAATTTTCTGATATATCTAGTAGTTAGGCTGAGTATTTCAGAAGACAAAAATTATTACCTTTCCTCTATCATATGAAAAATTGATTAAACTTTATGCATGAAATATTTGGAGGCCTCTAGACTTTTATGCCAGATGCTTTGAACGTTGCAATCTTTTCGTTCTCGGTAAGAATGCCTATTGATCTAAATCTGAATTTGACATAACTATCTCAGAAATTTCAATTACACATGGGGATATTTTCATGATGATACAGCCACATCTACATATGTAGTTCTTTTGAAAAAATACTTGACAATCCCAGCGAACACTTAAAATCCCCACCCTGTATTAAACTGTTTCATACCTTTACAGTGAACAGAGTCCCATTTCTACCAGATTTGTTGCCTAAAACATTTTCCTTATAACATTATTGTGCATGAAAATGTCTAGAGCTGGCCATGCACCTCGGTTATTTAAATACTTCAGCTTAAAATTCAAGATGTTCTATGATATAGCCCCATTCTACTTGCAAAGCAAGCTTCTCCCCAAAATGTTTACTTTAGAAAGGCCATTCTTCTACACTGTTGGTGGGAATGTAAACTGGTGCAGCTCCTCTGGAAAACAGTGTGGAGGTTCCTCAGGAAACTAACAAGAGAACTCCCCTATGACCCAGCAATAGCACTGCTAGGAATTTACCCAAGGGATACAGGAGTCCTGATGTATAGGGGCACATGGACCCCAATGTTCATAGCAGCACTCTCAACAATAGCCAAAACATGGAAAGAGCCTAAGTGTCCATCAACGGATGAATGGATCAAAAAGATGTGGTTTATCTATACGATGGAATACTACATGGCAATGAGAAAGAATGAAATCTGGCCATGTGTAGCAACATGGATGGACCTTGAGGGTGTTACGCTGAGCGTAGAGAAGGACAGATACCATATGTTTGCACGTATAGGAGGATTAGGAGGAACTTAACGGAAGACTGTGGGGGAGAAGAAGGGGGGAAACAGTGGGGGAGGGGGAGAGAGGCAAACCATGAGAGACTCTTGAATGCTGAGAACAAACTGAGGACTGATGCATATGGGGGGGAGGGGTTGGGGAGATGGGTGTGGAGGAGGGCACTTGTGGGGATGAGCACTGGGTGCTATATGGAAACCAACTTGACAATAAACTATTTGTTTAAAAAAAAAAAAAGGTCATTCCTTTACAGTTCCCAATCCTATCTTGCTCTTTCTGCCTGACTGCAAGGTCTCATGTTGAGACATTGGCCTGGAGTTCCCTCCCGCCTCCACTCCGCACAGTCACATTCTACCCCTGAGTTCCGGAAGGCCTAGCTCATCTGTCTTCTCCATCTTGAAATATCTTCTGACCAATAGAAGTCAGGGGACATTTACTGAAATTTAGCCATCTGTCATGCACTTTTCTCTTTTCTAGTCCTATAATTCTAATAAATTTGTCAATCCATCTTCTGCCCATTTAGCCGTCCAGCCATCTGCCCACACATCCATGCATCCATCCAACATTTGAGTGTCTTCTATATGCCAGGCACTATATTACTCTCAGTGCACTTTTTAATTATGTGCCATTAATTGAATCACTAATTAATTCCATCATGTCTTTGCTGAAATACATTATAAACTGCTTGATGGCAGGAACAAGGGCTTAAATTTCTTCATACGATTCATGGCTTTAGCAGAGTTTTGCACATATGGGAGAAAAAAGAAATGATTGCCCATCAAAAGGGGGAATTGTGTGAGGATTCAGAAATACTGCTCTATTTTTGCTATTTGCTAATTACATCATTCTTGGCCAACAAGATAAAATGTCTAACTCACAATTTTCGTGTTTGGGGATATTATTGTCTAGCCTATCACCATCACTAAGTTAATGAAGCCTTGTTATGTGTCGCACGTGAGAAAATCTTTGTCAAGACCTGCACAAATGTAAGGGCTCATTATTATTATATCAGGTCCTCAGCCAGACAGGACATACTGACTAAAACTGAATAAACCTATTTAGGTATAGCAAGGATATATGTAGGACTCTTATATGTGGATTTTTGCAACACCTATTATAAATGATTTTTCCATGACTGAAAAGAAATGCATGTCCATTGTAAAAACTTGTACATACATCCAGAAAAGAATGAAGAAAGCAAAACTCATCAGGAACCTCATTACAAATTGGTAACTGCATATTAACAGGGCTGTATCAACAACTCTGTATATTTCGTTTTAGTTACACGACATGATGCGAGGCGACTTCACCTCCTTAGTTAAAAAAGACAGTGATCCACGTGTTATGGTAGAAATGTCAAGTTTGGGCTTAAGTAAATCAAATCATAGAGATCTTTTTGTTAAAGTTCAGGTAAATTCTAGGTTATCACTTATCACTTAACCATTGATATGAGCAATTGTCTGTATCGCCATCAACATTCTTTTATTAATTTACCTTTTTGAGAGAAAGACAGGGTGAGTGGGGGAGAGGGGCAGAGAGAGGGAGGGGTGTGGGAGAGAGGGGGAGAGGGAGGAAGGGAGGGAGGGAGGGAGAGAGAGAGAGAGAGAGAATGAATCTAGAATGGGCTCTATGCTCAGCATGGAGACTGAATGGGGTCCGATCCCACGACCCTGACATCATAACCTGAGCTGAAATCAAGAGTCAGATGCTCAACCAAATGAGCCCACCCAGCCTCCCCATGAACATTCTAAGGTATTTTTCCCCCTAGAGGAACTGAAATTACTGCCATATATGCTCTACTATGCCAGGCCCTCTAACTCTGCATGGCACCCAAGTGTCCCTCCACTTGTTTCAGCTGGTTTTCAACCAGTGCAACCTATCATTTTATCCCTGTTTAGGGAAATAAGATGGAAAAATTGGATTAGTAGGTGGAGGCAGGAGAAGAGGGTGGGTGGGACCTCAGGAAGGGCAAGGCTAGGGCTGCCTGGCCTCTAGCTCGGCCGCCCCACCCGCATCCCAATAACTGTCAACCTAACAACCGCAACCATTGCATGTATTTGTCCCCAATCATGATACGTAGCCTAAAAAAAAAAAAAGAACATACATTTGTATCTTTTTATGGGGGGTGGTGCTGTTGGCAATATATCAACTCCATGTATTCTGATTGGAAGGTTTTGGTAAATACTAACGAGAAAATAATGACACAGTATGAATGTGTTAAGCAGATAAACTCTTTTGAAACATGGTGTCCACCAGGGAAATAGCTGTTAAGTGGTTTGGAAGCATTAATATTCTTTTAAAGATATAATCATAATTGAGTCTTTCTTTTTGGTGACTATCTGGGTGAAATGATCTTGGCACCCCACTCTTACCGTGATGGATTATAGTAAATAGGAACACTGTCTAGCAGCTACAGAGCGCCTAGCTTAGAGGAAAGCTTCTGAACATACTTGTGCAGCGAATGAATGCAACTGATGGGAGACATTTCATCTAATTCATCAAACGGCATAAAGTGTTTACGTGAGACATTTAAGAGGAACCGGGAAGTCTGTTCTTTCTACTACAGACTTCTGTAAAGACTTCAACATCCTCAATTTTTTCAAGTAGAGAGCCAACATTCACTTTAAAAATTATGATTACAGCACACATCCAACGCAAACAGCTAATTGCACTATGGGCTACCTAAATGGGCTTTATTTATGCACATTTCTCATGCCAAGCTCAGAGTAAGACCTGAGCCTAAAAGTCGCTCTATGATGCTCAGGTAGAGCCCTCTCTGTGCAAGCCATGTGCAAAAGGCAGGAGTCTATGAAGTTAGATACTCTAACGGTGTGAGGAGGAATCTAAGCAATTCAAACGGAAATCTTTCATTTCTATGAGTGTGGGCAGCAAGCATTCAATTCATAGTCTGAACGTTAATTAGGATTCAAAAATCAATACTTAGAAAGGTATCAAGGGACCAAAGCATGTTTACAGAGTAATTAAAGATCTTGAGGCACAGTAATTGAGGTTGATTTCAGAAAGTAGAATGACGTCGGGCAACCTTAAGGAAGGGAAGCTGAGATACTCGAATAACTCTATTGGCCTCATGTGGTGGCATGACTTCACGCAGATAAGCTGGGAAAGGGGGAACTGTCTTGTGCTAGAAGTATAACTAGTTTTTATTCTGAGTCATCTGAAGGCTTCCCTGCTTGGACCAGGGAAATAGATAATGTTCTTCCACAGGTGTATTTCCACTCTCTGAGGAGACCAGAAGTGCTGAGGGAAGCTAATCGTTCAGCACGTAAGTAAATGATTGCATAGTTGGGAAGCAGAGACAGTTAACTTAAGCAACATTCTAGCTAGGAGAGCTTACTAACTCAATTCTAGTGAAAAGCTAGAGAGCTCAGCAGGGAAAAAAAATAATTTAGAAGTTCCTGAGCATAGGAAGCTATAAGCAGGGAAATGTGGTATACTTTCATCTCTTTTAGCAGAGTATCCTTGCTGCAGCCAGCTCTCTTATTTTATTTTTT